CTTCCTTCCTTCCTTCCTTCTTTCCTTCCTTCCTTCCTTTCTTTTTTTTATAAATTAGGGTGCGTGAGGGACTTTTGTTAGAGACAGACCACTGACACAGTAGTTCATCAGTTTCTTATCAGGAAGGCCTTTGCCTGAAAGTGACCGAAAACTTAAGGATGACTTAAAGCAAAGGGGCTTTTCTTGCAACCCAGAGTTCGGGGGGCTGACAGCTGCTGGAACAGTTGGGTTGCATCCTGTGAGGTCGGCCAACAAAGGTTGGCCTTTGTTCTCTTGCTTGTGGCCTTATATCATAAGATAGTGGGCCCCACTTTGCATGTGGCCTTCAGGTTTGAGGCAGGAAAAAGACGGGAAAGAGAGCGGCCAGGCCATTGATGGTGCCTTTTATCAGGAAATCAGACGCTCATAGCCCTGAGTGGGCTTCTCCTTCCCTCTCATTGGCCAGAGTGGTGTCATGGGGACCACCCTTAGTTGCAAGGGGGGGCTAGAAAAGGGGGCGCTTTGCTTTCCCAGCCTCTGTGGTGGAGGAGGGGAGGGACAGGACTTGGAAACGGGTGCGGGGTGAGCTAGGACACAGTGTTTGCTGCAACCCCGTGCCTGGTAGGCAGGGCAGAATTTTTACCCACTTTACAGATGGGGAAACAGAGTCTGAGGCACTCCCTCCATGTCCCCTGTCCTGCTGGGGCAAGGTTTCTTGACTTCAGCAATTTTGATACCTGGGGCCAGATCATTGTTTGTCACGGGGGGGCTGTCCCCTGCATTGGAGGCTGTTTGGCAAGATCACCGGCCCCCCCCACCAGATGCCGGGAGCACCATTTCTCAGGACCAGCAACCGGAAATGCCTCCAGATACTGCAAAATGTCCCCTGGAGGAAGGACAGACTTGCCCCTGATGGAGAACTGCTGTGCGAGGGAAGAAGCTCAGCCCTTGGTGGCCCAGTGCCCAGGGTTTACACAGGGAGTCGGACTTGGTAGGGACTAGAGACCGATCTCCCCTCGGGCAAGAGAAGAGGTGCAGAGAGGGAAAGCGGCTTGTCCCAGGCCATACAGCAGTGTATCTCTGGACCCCTGGCCCAGTGCTCTTTGACCTGCCCTGCAGTATTTCAGCAGATGCACGTTCTGGTTTGGAGGTTCAAACCATTTCTCCTTCCTCCAGCGTGCAAATGCCACTGCTTCCTTTTTCTCTGGCTTCAGTTCAGCGATGCTGACAGCTGTTGCCGGGTGGCACTGAGAGCCAACACACCCAGCAGCCTCACTACCACATTCTGTCTCCCCACCCAGGGTTTCCCAATACTCCGTGCGCTGAGGGTGTCTCGGGTGTGGCCCCAGCAGCCTCTAACTTCCCCTTTCCGTTCACGGAGTTTCGTGTTCACTGAGTGTAGCCCAATTATCTGCAGAGTGTGGTTGAGTATCGCGCCCAGTGGTGTGCTGGTAATCGGCTCTCTGGGCGGGAAAAAAAACAAAAAAACCCAAAAACCCGAGCTCGAATTTGCGGTATTTGCTCCCACCATGGCCGGTCTCAAGCTGCCAGGAGCTTGCTGAGTGTGCAGCTGGGAGGAAGCGTGTGAGCCTGCTGCTCCTGAGCCCCACGCCAGGCCTTTTGCCTGTCCCCTGCCACCGAACCCTCACGCACCCCTGTGAGGCAAGCACTAGAACCAGTTCCATTGTGCAGATGAGGACCCTGAGACCGAGCGAGGGTCAGCTACCCATGTTAAGCTTAGACCACTAGGTAAGGGGCATAACCCGGGTTCGAGACCCAGTCTGAATCTGCAGGCTTTGCCCTTATCCCCCAGCAGGGCCTGAGCTCACGGGGTGGGCGTCTTCCTAGGTGCCCTCCAGTGCCCAGGCTCCCGCCCTTGCCCCTGTCATGCTTAGCCTGCGTCCACTCAGCTGGTGGGCAGAAGCCCCTGCTGAGAGGCCACCGGGTCATGCTCCAGACCTGGGCTGCTGGGGCTGGGAGGGGGGAGACCCAGCGCCTCCCACCCCTCCTGCTGCGGAAGTGACTCCAATGCATGGCCGGACGGTGGCCTCCCTTTGTTTGGACAAGGCCAGCATACCCACGTATGTGAGCTCACCCACAGTCAGTCACTCCCACGGACACACTCACACGTGGGCTCATGTTTAACAACGAGACTGAGCACCTGGGAGGTGCCGAGCGTGTGTGCTCGTGCATTGCTTCGTCTCACAGCCGTGCTGACACGCAGACAGCATGATTATTGCCCCGGTTTTTATTTGGGAAATAAAATTTGGGCTCAGAGAAGTTAAGTGACTTTCCCTAGGTCACACAGCTAATGAGAGTGGCCAGAGACACAAGCCTCTCTTCACCACCCCCAGCACGTGCCCTCACACGTGCTCCTACACACACAGACAAGTGTGTGTGATGTTTTACCTCCTGCCCCCCCCCCACACCTGTGCATACAGAGGTGTGAGCCTCATGAGCACACACACACACACACACACACACACACACACACACACACACAGGCAGACGTGGAAGGACCTGGCTGGTGACTCTGCCAGAGTCCCTGCCTCTGGCCATGTTGGGGGCTGGGCATGCTGGGGGGCTAGCAGGCTGGAATCCTGGTTTTTGAGTGAGCTTCCTCCGTACTCCCCCTCACTGGGGCCCCAGCCCAAGGAACAGGACTCAAGGATGCATCTGCCCCACTCAGAGCCTGCCTGAACTTTGCAACTTGTGGCTTTGAGAGAAGGAGGGAAGGAGGCAGATCGTGACCTTTGGGGGTTCCTGCTCTGCCCAGCCCCAGCCACAAGTAGAGCAGCAGGAGACTGGCTCCCCAAAGCCCCTTCTTTGGGGTTTTAAGGAATGACATTTGGGTGCCCCTCTTGTCCCTCCTTCCCCTGCCTGTCCAAGTGCAGAGCAAGGGTAGGAGTGCAGTCCAGTAGCCTAGATCAGACCACCTGGGCAAAGGTTCAGCCTGAACTTGAGATGCCCTCCATCCTTCCAAAGCCCGGGGCCGTGAACAAGGGAGGCAGGACGCAGTGGGAAGCCAGCATCTCTGCTACACGGATCTGGGCTCATTCCGCCTCCACCACAGACCAGACCGGCTGTGATGCTGAGCCAGGGACTCACCCTCTCTAGGACTCTGTGGCTTCAAGGGACAGCTTGCAAAGAAGATCCTTCCGTCCTGATGACCGAAGCAGGCTCAGCTGTGGGAGAGGCTGTAGCCTTGGTGGGCGGGGCAGGGGCTGGGTGGCCGTAGTGATTGGCCAGAGAGTGGACTGCTCAGAGAGCGCTTGGGATTGGAGGCCAAGGGGTGTCGGCCTTTCCTGGGGAGTGGGACCCGACATGCCTCCACCCCTATGGCAAAGGCCTTCCCTCTTACCTTACTAGGCCATGTCCCACCAGCCCTTCCCTTGCTTTGGTCCTCATTCCCCCCGGGACCCTCTCATCCTGCACTGGTCCAGGGGCCAAGGGCAGCAAGTGAGAACGTGGCCCCTTCTGTCTCCTTTCTTCCTGGGATCTAGCAATCGCCCGGGACCCCGAGGCAAAGGCTTGGGTGCCTATTCAGCTGGTGTGGGCAGGCGACAGGCTCTGAGTGGAGTTTCTGGGTGCTCCCCAAGCAGGAATACGTGGAAACTGGTACCTTGTCTTGGGCCTCCAGACCTTGAAAACCCAGACACTTGGGAAAGCTGTCAAGGGTTTTAGCCCACCTTACCATGTCCTAATTGTGTGACCTCAGGCAAATAACTCAACCTATCTGGTTCTCGGTTGCTACATCTGCAAACACTGGGCTGTTAGAAGTATCAATATAGTGTTTTAGAAGGACTTCGGCTCAGTGCTTGGCATTGAATGGCAGATATCAGCTAATACCTTATTATTATTGTCGGTGTTAGTTATGTTCTTCTGTGGGGAAAACTTATTAGGAGTTAGTCACAGAGCAGGCTTGGGGAATAGAATCTGGAAAGGGTTCTTGACCCAGCGTGGCCCAGGGCTCTAAATAAAAGGGCTGTCTACTCTGGAATGATGGATTGAATACAAGGGCCAGTGAACGTTTTCCGTGAAGGGCCAGACAGTAAATATTTTAGGCTTTTTGGTCGTATGGTCTCTGTTGCAGCTACTGAAACCTGGCGTGGTAGCAAGGAAGCCGCCACAGATTTGTACATCAACCAACGAGAGTGGCCGTATTGCAATACAGTTGCATTTATGGGCGCTAGAACGTAAAGGGCACGTAATTTTGCGTGTCACAAAATATCATTCTTTGAACACTTTTTTCAATCATTTAAAAAATGTAAAAACCCTTCTTGGCTCACAGGCTGTCTGTACAAAAACAGTAGCAGGCCAGATTTGACTCATGGTACTAGTTTACCCCCACCCCACCCCCCACCCCCCGCCTGATTTAACAAACCCTTGTGTGGAGCTTTACGGTGTAACAGGCCCTGTCCTGAGCACCTTACAAATATCCAGCCATTGAATCTTTGTGACAGCCCTGGGAGGTCGGCTTATAACTCCCCCTTGATATATGAAAGAAAGGAGGCACAGAGAGGTTAAGTAACTTGTCCAAGGGCACACAGCTAATAAGTGGTGGAGTCATGATTTTGTACCCACGTGGGTGTGGTTCCGTGCTCTTGGCCGCCAGGCTGGACCACATCACCCTGTGCTGTTGGGGTGACCTTAGGAAAGCCACTCTCCTCTGGGCCTCTGTTTCCTTATGCGAAATGAGGATGGAAATCTTACCCCACCTCCAGGACTATTTGGTGAGTAGTCCCACCCTCTTAGGGCTCCCGCTCCAATGGGAGCATACAAATGCTAATCACAGAAATCACGCAGAATCCCGCATCCCGAAAGCGCCGTGTGTGGAAAGCAGGTGCAGGTGTGGGCAGAAGCGCTGTGTAAACTGGGAGGGTGCTGAGGCCACGGGGGTGCAGAAGGGTGCACGGGTGTGAGCAGGGAGAGGAAGACGAGCCGGCTGATGGGCTGACTGCTCTTGCTCCTCTCCTGCCTGTCCAGCTTCACCTGCCTGCTGACAAGGCCCGAAGTGCCCCCGGCCCCGAGCAGCAGCACCTGCTGACCACAGCGCCCAGCTCCAGCAGCAGCTCCCTGGAGAGCTCAGGCAGCACCGCAGACGGGAGGGCGCCCACCGGGACCCGGCTGCCCGCACCAGGCACGGAGAAGGCCGCCGGGTCTGGGGAGGCCTGGGCCAGCTCCAGCAACTCAGGTAGGATGGGGGAGCCCATCTGGCTTCACCCCCCGCGTCATGGCTCTTCCTGGTTTCTGGCTTAGCCGGCCCCTCCTGGGCCTCCCCCGTAGGGCAAGGCCTGAGCTCCTAGCAGGGCATTGGAATGACTGTGTGACTAGCCTGGGCTCGCCCCCCAGCCTCTTCTCCCCGTCAGATGCAGCACTGGGCCACAAACCTCTCTCGTTTCTCTGAACCTGCCAAATCTCTCCCACCTCTGCCCACGTGAGTTCTTCTACCAGGAGCACCCTCCCTTCTAGACAATCCCAGCTTATTCTTCGAGTCCCCGATAGCCAGGAAGGGAGTTTCCCTGCCTGGTATTATAATACATAATATGTAACATAATATTATATATTGATATCATATTTTCACACAATTATTACATATTGTATAATGCTTATCGCATAGTATATATTATTAGATAACATGTAGTATTATAGTGTTATATTCAGACTTATTATATTTTATAGATGGGGAAACTGAGGCCCAGAGAGGTTGAAGAGCTTGTTCAGGGCCACACAGCTAGTATACGGAAGAGCCAGGAATACCCCCTGGGCTTCCAGGTTCCAGAGCCCTGGGGTGGAACTCTGGATGAATAAATGGTGTCTTTAGGGCTCCACTCACTGTGGGCCACTGCCCAGTCCTTTGGACCTGAAGGGTCAGGATTGTGGGGACGTCGTGGGTGCTGGAGAAGCCCAGGCCCCATTTACACAGGATACATTTTGCCCTGGACCCGGTCTGTGACAGGGGTCCAGAAAGCCTGGGGCTTCCTTGGTGTATTTTGTAGCGACAGGCAAAGCCCACTGGCCTGCGTCTGTCCTTCTCGCCCAGGCTGGCGGGAGGTCAAGGAATGACGGTGCGCTCGGGTCCTTCCCGGATGCCCTCCTGACCGCTCTGGTGCCGTGAGGATTCGAACAGGCTCCTTAACCCTGCCTCAGTTTCCTCATCCGGAGATGAGCCCAGCATCCCCTTGGCAGGGCTGCAACATCTCTTCCTACCTGATTGTGGGACAGCTCCCTCCCTCAGGACCGCTCCTGCCCCGGCTGCCCCCTGCACGGAGGCGCCCCCACCGCCGTGTTCCCCTCACCAGTGCGATGTCTCGTCAGCGCCCCCACCCAGCCCAAGAGCTCCCCAAGGAAGAGACGTAGCCCGTGGTCCTAAACTTTCGTCGAATGAGGGAGCGGAACTCCAAATACAAACCCCTGGTCTTTGTCCAACTCTTGGTTTCATCTTTCTGATTTCCTGGTGACACCTCTCCTGCAGTCATCCTGGCCCCTTGACCATGTCTGCCCACCCCTTCTTCCTCCTCCTCCTCCTTCTCTTCCTCCTCCTCTTCCTTCTC